ACAGCTTGTAATTAATGTCATAATATGAACAATAATATACACACAGAAAGCTTTCTGATGATTATGCTTTTGGGGCAGGTATCTTTATTGAACATTATGTTGACTCGCCAAACCCTTCTGGCATCCGGTGTGACATCCGGCGACATTTGACATTAAGCCTGCAGAGCCAGACTATCCAGCACAAAAATGCAATTTCCTGAACGCCAGGCCGCTGCTCAAAATTCAAATGTCCTGCTTGTCTAGGCGTATGGCTTTGGTTCTGTCTAAAATAAGAAGTAGTTTAACTCATCCAAAGTCAAATGTTACTTATATTGATGGATTTACACGTTGGGGCCACAGATTACGCTGAGCTTCCTGTCAGGAAATGTGGTAGCCAGGACATCCCGCTTAGAGTTAGCTGTCTGCCTTGTGGCCGTAATAGAAATTGATTCAGCTCGAAATTGTGCAATTTGGGTGGGCCCCAGCCAGGCTATAATACAACTAACCACAAAAGCAGCTGGCTCCACATACTGGCCGATAACCACAGTGCATCTGGACCCAATTTTATACACACTCACAGCGATATGTAGCTGAATTTAGATGCAACCAAGCCTGGCTAATGCATTTTTAAAGTAGAATACATAATTTATGGGCCACAGCATCAGTTGCTGCTCGCTCAGTTGGTCAATCAGTCAGTCAGTTGCTAATCCCACCCACTTCTCCTTTGACCGACTTCACTTTGCTCTAATTGCCACAACTAATGCGTCTGTTTGCTTGCCACACAGCCGCAATATTTTCACATTTTACACACATAGATCCGAGCCAACCATTATTGTGGCCGTGGCCCTGTCGCGTTGATGGGGCGCCACATAATTTATAGATAGCCCAGAAAACGGCATCTCTTGGCCCCATATTGGCATTCATGCAATATCCGCTGCATAATTTACAGCAATTTCAACTGCATAGCGTATTTGTTATATAATTTTTGCCTCCAAATATTATCTCTATATGCGTTCAGGGTAAAATGGGGCTTGCACTCTCGGTTTAATGCGGCATTTCATAATTTGATTGCATTTCCACAAATCTAAAATCGATATATTCAGCAGAGCTTAAATTAGAAATTAGTAAATGCAGTCGGAAATTTTAATATTCAATTTATTGCGTATACGCAATCTGATTATGCTATTAAATTCGACTTATCATTAAAAATACAACATTTAATTATACGCTGAACCCGCTTAAAATTGGAAACGAGTGTGCTGAATTTATAAGGGGCACAAAAAAACACCTCCGAACCCATTTGTTTGATTATAATCAGAAGACAAGATCATTTAATCATGTCCGTCTATGCGTTTTTATTATTCAGCTAATCTCCGAAACTCTAAAAGCTAGAAACTTCAAATTTAGATTGTACGTTATTGAATACATCATATTCAAATTAGTTCAATTGGGAGTCAACTATTCCGTTTTGGGAATTTCGATACAAATCGATTTCCGATTGTCGAGATACAGTCAACTATTAAGTAAAATGCTTCGACATATTAATCCACTATATAAATTTTATTTTAATTTTATAACAAATGTGTTTGGGGTATTTCCTATATAGCTCCCTCAACTAGAGAGTTTTATCTCTCACTTTCGCTATAATTGCGTTAGTTGTAATGAAGACTGATTGTAATAGTCAATGGTAATTTATAATTTTGTAGCTGAATTAGTTAGCATTCTCAAGAGCCAATTAGTTAATTAAAATAAACGCATTTACATAAGTAAATGTTACAATATGTAATTTAGAAACGAACATTTCTCAATTATCCTGTTTTCAGAAACAAATAAGTTTTGTTTGTTGCATTTCCTTGTGGCAACAAAATGAACATAGTCCCTGAATGCACCAACAAATTTCTGAATTTAAGTAAAAAATTACATTTACATAATGCAACTAAACTGACAGGCCAAATGATGCTGCAGTTTCGTTGCAGCCAGCTTGGTTCACTCCCCTCCACGTCCGTATTGCCTTGGAGAGTCAAGCAACCATAGAATTGGTTGTTTTTCTTGGCTGGTGAATAAGGAAAACAATAAAGAAATTGCAGTGTAGTGGAAAATGCAAGGAAATGAGAAAGATGAAATAAAACCGCTACGAAAACAAAGTCGTAAATTCAATTTAAAGCTTGATAGATTGCCACACTGCGGCGTGTGGGCGTGGTCTTGCTGCTGCCACAAAACGAAATGCTTACAAATGTTTTTTTCTTCTTGTTGCAGATCTTTTATCTGAGTTTCCAACTATTTTTCACTTTATTTGAACAAAATATTTTTGCTTTCATTTGAGTGCAGACGAGAACAGTTGGCGGAGGATGCAGCTTTATCTACAGCTGAACTAAGGTCAAGTTGCATTTAGTCAGCACGTGGTAGGTGTCGCCAGAGTTGAGCAATTAATAATCCCAACCACTCAAACAGTCAAAAATCTGGCAAAGAGGTTAAGCGGCAGCTGCGCGGCTGGAGGCAAGCAGCAGTGTGTACTGTGGCAACAATGACTGGTTGTGGTTGCTGCACAGCTGTTTGCGTTCTGAATTTGGTTGCATGAGGTGAAGCCCCTATTTGGGAACTAAACAAAAGCTTGGTGCGTCCATGCATGGGGCATCTGATATTTGCTTACCTGACCCAGTTAAAGCACGCGTCTAACCGTTTTAGCGATTGTTCATGGCCTATTTAAGTAGCTGCTGGAGCTTATTACGTTCGGTTGACCACAATAAGCGCAATTAAAGTCCACCAAACAGATGGAGCGCCACAAAAGCGTGCACCATTGCAGTTTGCTGACCGAGCCAATCAACGGCCACAGCCGCAGCGTCACTGAGGGTGAGGAGGATGAAGCCTATACTCAGCTGGAGAGGGAGAGCATTTAATGTAATGCGACTGCGATGCTCTCAAAGGGATGCATACGCGGCAAACCGCGGCCAGGAAATGTGCAAATTGCATTTTAACGCATGCAAATTGCTGGAGTCCGCGTCCTGGACGACTTTATTGCATTACAGTTGCCAACTGAGACACGGACACTCGCTGACCGTTGCCAAATGCATGACGCTAGGTTGGCGCTTCAATAGTCAGTACTTAGTTGCCATGGTTAAGGGTATCTGCATGAAATGGGGTCAACTGCTGTCCTCTTTGCAAAGGGCTGACTGTAATGAAGTTGCTCAGGACCGCCTCATTGCCAATTTAGCAACTGCTGTTGCTGCTGCTGCTGTTGCTATTTGCAGCATCAAATGACAAACGCACCACCATCACCACCAACACTGTTATCAGAAGCAACAAAAGATGTGCTGGCTCGTGCTGCTGCCTGCTGTCATCTACAACATTTTGCATTGCAGCCTTTTAGGGGCTTTTTGTAAAATTGTCAAGTCAGGGAGGGGGAATCTGTGAATGGGGGAGGGTGTTTGCTTTGGTTGGCTTTACCGCTTTCAGAATCAATGTTCATGACAGGGTGGCTTTTATTATTATTGCTGTTGTTTGCATGCACTACACTTTATAGTCAAGTTAAATATTATTCATACGCACCATTGCACTTAATAACACTGAGCTGGTGCGACTCGAATTGCTGCCTGCTTCAACACGCAATTTAATTGAATTAAATAGTAATAAAATAAATCTCTTGCATTTTGTGCTCACATGAAGTTGATGTAAAGAGAGAGAGAGAGAGAGAGAGCAGCATACACGATGGGAAATTTTGTCATATGGAAGTTTTGTTGGATCGATCGAAAATTTCAAATTTCAAATATATACAGATATATCCAATATATATAAGGATTTTAAATTCGATAAGCCTTTTATGCAACATTAATTAACTAACGCTAACGGTAATTTCCCAGTCAGCAAATTAGTACTTTTTTGACTGGTCAAAAATAGTTAATAAACATTCACAAAAGCTCAAATTTGTTGTTAGGAGTTTTTGCTGTCAAAACTTTTCCTCAATGAACGCTAATTGCGAGAACTAAGCTCGTGACTTTTAATTTAATAATGGAGGGACTTTTGACTATTTACCTGACAGCACTTCAGCTGGAAATTGCATTGGAAAATCATTGTGCACATTGACATTTTCTCTGCTATTTTGTAGTGAAACTAAAACTTTTTGATTTAACATGCACAAGGCAGGCTCGAAAAATGCACATACACAAATTCAGTTTGTTTCAGATATTCAATATCTCAGTTTCCATAAAATTATTTCACCCGAATTCCGAAAGCAGAAGAGATGAGGAAATTAGCCTTTAAGCTGTTGCCTAAAATGAGACTCTGAGCAGGGCTCTATGCAAATTAAAAACAAGGCAACACAAAAGCAATACAACCATTAGTCAACATTTTCCAACGAGGAGGAAAAGCTATTTTTTTCATTTATGAACAAAGCCCAAAGCCTCAGGGTTTTTTCGGAATACGAAAAATAAAAATGACCTTAAAGTAATCTTATTTTTAAGCTTCGAAAATAGAATTCGAGAGCATTTTCCCATTACCGGCTTGCGTCTAAAACTCAGCATCAGTTTTCCCCAATTGCTGTTAGCTGAACTTGAGTTCAGAAAAGTTACAGAGTATCACCTAGTTGGGCACTCTTCATTAGAGTACAGCTCTATTTTTATTCGTCTTTTTTGTTGTTCTTACGCTATTGTCTTGCTTTATTCCTGGCTTTTGATTTTAGTTACATGATACTGACATCTTTCGAACAATGAACTTGCCACAAGCAACAAGGAGTCCCTCTAACTACCGTAGTAACCTTAGCAGCTGCTTTTTCTCTCATTTGTGTATTACGTATACGACACGTGTTGGCATTAAATTTACACCAGTAAACTTGAATGTCTTCTGTGTGTGTGTGTGTGTGTGTGTGTGTGTTTGATATGACTCAGGCATTTGACAAGCGTTTCGAGCTTTGCATTTTTGCATTTAAATCAAAAAATTAAAAGATACAACATTTCACTCACATTGTGAATTAATCAAGCATTCCATTTTCGTTTCTTTCATTCTTTCTTTGGCACTCTCGTCCCCAGATCAACAAGAATACGCAAAACAACAAAAATGTGGGCGAACGCAAGCGGTGGATACATGATCCTTCGAGTGAGTAGCCAAGGCCAAACTAAAGCATTGTTTTTTTGTTTATGGCCACCAACTGGTGAACAACAACGAAGAAACAACTTATCACAACATGCTTATAATTTAATATATTACATTTCATATTTTCCCGCCCGCAGGTGACCTTTGTCGGCCGCTAAACTGTAAGAAGCGTGAAATTTGTCTGCTGGAGGATGAGTTCAGCGCTGTGTGCGTGTCGAAAAAGGAGCTGCACAAGAATCGGTATGTGGCCAGAGGCATAGTTTGTAATGCTTGATATTTTTTTGTGCTACTAACAAACTTAATAAACTAATTAAATTAAAAATTGATTGCCTGTGCCTGTGGCTGTGGCGACTTTACAAACCCGTTTACATCTCTGTCGTCGGTCTAGTGATGAGATAATCACCAAAGCCAAATATTTGGAGGAGGAAGCCAAGCGGCGTGTCAATCAACAGGATAACGATAGCCAGGATGTTGAGGACATCAACAACGATGACGAGGACAACAGTAGCGATGGCGACAACAACAACAACCACAGCAACAAGAATAACAACAATGCGCCAGCCAATGTCCAGGGCAACGAGGATAACAATGACGATGAAGATAAAAGCCTAAGCCTGGGCGACGATGATGAGTCCAAAGAGGACGATGTCTTCTATGAGAACAGCATTGTTGCCAACGATAATCAAAAGCAGCAGCAACAGCAACAGCAGCAGCAGCAGCAGTTGCCGAAGCCTGCGGCTGCCCAGCAGGATGATGACGAGGAATTGGAGTAAGTATTCGAGTATTTAACTTTAGCCCAATCCCTTTTTTTGTGTTTTTATTTAAGGCCTTTGCATATCAATGGTACTCTTACATTTCATTTAACAAATTCTCATTCATTTCGCGGGTATCGAGCAACTTACAACTGTAAGAAAAAGGGTTAAGGGTTGGGATACGACCGACCACCCCCACGCGGGATTGGTCCGGTCACCTTGTACATAAAACTGACGATTACTGGATGGCCCACCTGACTCTCTTTCTGATTTGCATGACCGGCACGCTAATAACAAATTGTTTTATCGTGTATACAAATTTCACAATAATGCTGCAGCTGTACAATTTTTAGCACGCATTACTTTTTGGTGTTGCTGTACTTCTGCTTCTCGTAGGCCTTTACTGATTATGCTGCGTCATCGTCGTCTCTGCCGCTGTTCATATACATTCTGTATGTTGTTCTTGTTATCGGCTGAAACGACAGCTTTACGGCCTTTTACCCTTTTGTAGTCGTATCCTTTGACTTGTACAACATTATCGCTCTGACCCTAACCCAAATTGTGAATTCGCACGCGAGGAATTCAAGTGTATTTTTTGTGGCAACATTGGACTGAGAAGTGGGCAGGCAGGTGCCACTACGGAATGAAGTCAAAGTCGCTGCTGGGGCCAAGGTTCAATTGGTTAGCTGATTGCTGGTTACAGCTCTGGGTACAACTTGGCCTATTTCCGACGTGTTGACGTGCTCAACTGTAACGGAAAAGTTATTCACAACTTCTAAACATCAATATCCGCACAAATACAAAAGTGTGAGAGCTTGGCGTCTTTTGTATTTGGTTAGCTGAAAGGGGAGATCTCTATTTGAACTTGGTAGTTTTTAATCCACATATAACTAATCGATAGCAGATGTCACTTTAAAAATCCAATATTTACTCAGCAGCAGCTGTGAACCTTTTTCTTTAAAATAACATACTTGTTAAGAACCCATGTTAAGATTATCAGGCCAATATTGTTTTCTTTTTCTCCCAAAAATTTCTTTAAATGTGCGTTTGTTGTTTTTCCTCGTCGGTTTATTTATCCGTTTGCTTTTCTGTTTTTAGTTTAATTTCATGGTAGCTGCCTGACACGTTCGGGTTGGTCCTTGGGGTAATGTGGGTCCAGCAGGTGGATTCTTCTGGCATAGCGAAAAGTTTTCTTTATCCGCTAAAAGCAGTTTGCTGAGTGGAAAATTAATTTTCATGAATATTTTGATTCTTTTCGCGATTTGTTATTCTTAAAGTTTTTACATGAAAATTTAATTTCAATTTAAATGTAATGAAGTGGTCAATCGAATTCCATGGATTATTTTTCCTAGTTGATAGTATTAATTATGAGCAACGCGATTTTAATTTAAATATTAATTAAATTGATTCAAATTTAATATGAATTAGTTTATGAAATAGGAACAAACAGCATTTCTCCCAGTCTTTCAATTAAGCTTGCTTTGGTTGGAACTGGTCTAGTTTTTAAAATTAGAATATCTATAGAAATATTTGTATACAAGATGAAGGTTTTGAATTTATTGAGGGATTTTAAATTGTCGAAAATCTTTAATCAAAATTGCATGAGAAATATGGTGGATTTGTCGATTACAAGAAATCTGCTGATTTATACAAGATCTATATATTTGATTTGATTAACACAAAGTTAAATGAAATTCATTTAAATAATAAGGCATTCTCTCTATCTAATTTATATATTCAGCTGTTCAGCTGTCGAAAGCTAAATTTAAATTAATATTCTTGAAAATAACTCTTATTTGGCTGATATTATTTATCATGCTGTTCATGTATGTGGGCTATTATGTTGTTTATAAGTATGTAGTGCCTAGTGCCATTTTGCCTCTATTATGGCTCTTAATGGTCGCGTAATCAATCTATCTATGGCCTAATCAAGAGTCATACCACGCCCTCTCACATTAAAAAATGGCTTTTGACATATTTTTCGACATTTTCTTTTCAATTTGCTTTCACACAAATTTCTCTTTTGTGCATATTCTAGTGCAAGTATCTATGTCAATGGCATAGACTCTGTATGTCTCTGAGAGAAAGCTGTGGGTGGTAAGGGAGTGTAGAAGGGGGTAGTTGGTTATAGGGTGTGCTGATGTTGTTGCTGTTGTTGCTGTTGTGAGCACACAAAATCAATAGTTTGCGCGCACAATTTATTTGGCATTTCATGTTCGCTGCCGTTGCCTTGGTGCTCCATTTGGGCACAAATCAAACAAAAGATTTGCTTTGTATACAGGCGCACTTGGTGCGAATGAAAGATTGAATCGATCAGGGGGTAAAAGGACATGGAGCGCTATCTGCGGGGCACTTGTAATAGACCAAGAAGCATCGCATACCACAGTAGAAGACGCATAAAAACACACTCACACACCCATTCGCAAACACACACACACAAAACTCATAACTCATGTAGGTAGGCATTGTTTCTTGCAACAATATGGCACCGCTTGTGGTCGTGGCTGGGTGGCGAAGGGCAAAGGATGTGGAACGCCTTTTATATGCTTCGTCCCTTTGCCTCAGCGTAGCACAACCTAAGCCGGGGCAATGTGCCTGCTTTTGGCAGTTATTCGAAACCACAGAGCTGCTTTTTGTTCTATACACATGAAGCTGTCAGCAGCAGCACCCAAAAATTTGACCCCATGCTCCTCCACCTGTCTCATTTGATGGGGGGTTTGTTTGCTGGAAAATTGAAAGCAAATATTTGACTAAAAATTCACAAATTTGTACAGTACAGCAGCGAATGGTATGTGTGGGTCCCCATTTTTATTTTATTTACAATTTGCACAAAGTAACCAGAGCAGCCATTGACCCAAAAGTTGCTAAATCATGTCATAAGCCCTTCACTGAAATTCAGTTACAATTTCAGGCATTATTTAAATTCCAGATTCCATCAAAAATGTACCACACAAGAGAAAATAATGTAAGCATTCTACGATAGAATTTTCAATTAAAACTGTCTTTCTTAGAGCAACCAATTTGTCAAACACATACACAAGTGAAAAAGGTACTTTCTAGTTTTGGCCAACGATTCCTTTGTCTCGGAATTGGTTAACCTAAATTGCCATTGAAAAGTACCATCAGCAAGCTGGCGGCACAATTACCTCGGTATATTTCAAGTACTTTTAATTTAACATTACGAATATTTTATTGAATTTTTACATTTACAAATATATTTGCCATGAGAGTGTGAACAACTGTGCATCATTTTGAAAACTTTTTAATGGATAACATTGATACAATACGACGAACGAAAATATACGAATTATATTTATGCAGAGTCAACAAATTTAATTGCTCAAAGCAAAGTTGAAGTGCATAATTGGAAAAGACAGTTGAAATTTGGTCTGAGTTCTGGGTTAAATTTACATTTCATCCTTTCACCAGTCCAACATTGTATTAAACCACCAAAATCGTCAGCCATTAAAGCCACCAAATTCAACAAATTTATATAATCCCAACAAAATCCAAAAGAACAACACAGAAATTCAATTTGCTGAATCAACACGGTCAATTTGCATGGCCATGAGAATAATTTAAGCGTTCAGTAGAGAGATAATATGAATATAAAACAAAAATACAATAAATAAAGTCACAGTCTACCTAGCCAACAAAAATCATTGAGAACTGATAGAATCTGCGACTACATAGTACTACTATATATACATATTAAGCCAATAAGTAATACTTTCAAGAGTTGTACATCTATACCCTGAACACAATTAAAATGGGAAATGAATGTTATGATGTTGTTCAAAATGCTACAGGCAGAAGAACACATTTCCAAGAGTGAGTTAACAATTGTTGTTGGCATCTTCACATCAAATAATGCTTAAATCAACGAGAATGATATGCCAAAGTGTGAATTAAACAAAAAAAAATGCAATTCAAAGGAAAATGCATATCGAGCACTGCTTAATTTCCGAGCTCCTCTAGTCTAACTAATTTGATTAAATATATTGATCAAAAATTTCCATCCATAACAATTTAAGTATTTCACAAATAAATATAGATAACGGTTAATACATTATAAAAACATGTAAGCGTCTCTCGGCTTTAAAGAAAATATATAAATTGTAAATAATGGAAACTAATTTCCGCCCTTTAGATTAATTTTTTTCATGCATCTACTTAACAATCCTGAGATTCTTGAGTTCCCCATATTTTTTTTTTGAAACAAGCATAATTTATTGTGCAAAGTCGGATTTTTGTATACAGCCTCGACTACATTACCCGTTACCGTGACTTCTGCCTGCTCAAATATTTGCAGAAATATTTAAGAAAATACAAGCTGATGGCACATGGCTCCAACTACCTGGAATATCTGCTTGTGATCTCTGACAGCCATGCTGCTGCTTGTCTGCGAGTGCGTGTGTTGCATATTAAATAATACTTAAATAAAACATGCCATAGCAACAGGCAGTTAGAAGCTGCAGGTCTCGCCTCGGCAACAAATGCCAGACTTGATTTGCATAAAAATTAATTTTGCATGTCATCTATTTGTTGTTTGCTCCTTTATATTCACTCTACTTTCTTTAGTGATACCAACTGAGTTTATTTTTTTCTAACCCTACTCTCGAACAGCAACTGCAAGCCGTGCCCCGTTGCCAAGCCAACTTTCCTCTGCGGAGCTGACAACAGAACCTACTCATCACTATGCAGATTGGATTATCACAATTGCATACATTCGACATCCATACGGATCGCCTGCAAAGGATTCTGTCCATGCAAGGGTAAGTCTTACAAATCAACACACATTCACAGAAACTCACATTGAGAGTCAGTGCAGAAATCCAGTGCCAGAACCAAACCGTATAATGAGCTTGAGGCTGGAATATGGCCAGCAAGTGCGGCTGGGAGGCCATGGAACGGTGGACATCTAAATAAATTGCATGCATGTTTGCAATCCAAACCCAGCCAGTTAAATTATTGTCGTTGTTGAAATAGAAAAAGCAAAACAGCAAAGGATTGTGATTGTTATTGTGAGAGGTCTGGTAGGCCTTAAAGCCAGACAATATTTCGATTTATTTTTAAGAGCTTTAAATTGCCGTCTAGCGAATCAATTGTTAAATTTTTAATAATCCGTTGAGCAAGTAGCGCCATTGTTCTAAGGCGCACAATGTGGGGTAGATTTAGGGGTATGAGTGGCAGGCACTCAGCGAATCAGCGACGCTGCAGCAAACAACAACAACAACTACGACAGCAGCAACAGCAGCAACGTCAGGCGCATTAATTTTAAATTTTCACAGCTGAAAGCGCATTGCAAGCACTTGCAACTCTTGCTGCTGAAATTGTTGTTGCTGTTGTTGTTGTTTTTCCTGCTTGGGGCTCAGCAATACAAAAAAATATATATGTTATACAAAAAAGAGCAGCAACAATAACAACAACAAGTATCAAATAGAAACGACGCCTCAGTGACCAGCGCCAGGATACGAAAAGTTTGCCTTGCCAAGCAATTTCATGTCGGCTATTTCAACATTTTTCTCGTTTGCAGAAAACACCGATGGTAAGCGATTGCAGCGAATTGGCGAGCGTGCTGGCTATAACAAATACAACAAGAAGATCATCCTGGAGCAGCAACAGCAGCAGCAGCAGCAGCAACAACAGCAGCAGCAGCAGCAAGCTTACAAGGATAGCAGCAACAACAACATCATGATGAACAGCGGAAATGTTATGGGTAGCAACAACAATGACTTCAATACCATTATGAATGTAAGTGAAGTTGAAGCAAATAGTTGGGGGCGGGCGGGGAACACACACAATTTCATATGCCTTAAACGATTTTGCAATTCACAGGATAAGGAGGACAACAATCGTCACTTAAATCACATCAATGCCCAGTACACATTCACTCCCGAGGAGATAAAGTATGACAACAAGCACTACAAGTATCTCAAGTACACAGCCTACAAGAAGGTGATTATATATCTTCGAAAATACATTTACATTTTTCATCAATTTCTTTCACTTTAGATGCAATTTAAATAAAGACAAAAATAAAATCCATTTTGTTTATATAAGGTGAAAAGCAAGAAGTAATATATAAAAAAAATAATACTGCCTTAAGCTATAATCATATAATATAAACTATAATTGCAGAGGGTAAAGGGTAAAGGGTAATTAGTACTATAAGTGAGAAGAAGAAACTGGCAGGGAGCAGAGGGAACAAGTAAATTAATGTGGCTCATCAGCTGAGCCGAATCGATTTCACCATTTAGTAATTTAACAACAATATTAACCCCATAATACGACGATTTATTAGGTAGGGAAAATCAATAGGAATTGTCAAACAAGCATCTGATTATGGAGCGGCAGTTGCAATGTGAAATTGGTTTTCTCTTGGGACTTTTGTTAACCCCATTTCAGCCGCAATAATGGGAAAACCAATCGAATTCAGATTCAGAAAAATATCAGCTTCAAGCGTATTTTGAAAGCTTTGCAAATCCAAATGGATATGTGTTTAACGGGCTTTAGCAAATGGGTGAAAAGCTGTTGGATAAAATTAATTGGAAATTAAAGCATTTGGAGTCAAACTCTTAACACATTTGTGCATTTAAATTTGAAATGTGTTCTCATCTAAGCCCCAGCATCTATCATTCATTTCTAAATATTAACTTTTGCAGGATGCCAAGTATCAAGAGGAAAAACGCAAGATGCGCAACTACAACGAAAATGAAGTCGTCGAGAAGCAGTCGCAGAAATTTAATAAAAATAACAATCCAAGTGGTAAGCAAACCTGAGAAAATTTGCGAAATTGAATTAATATTTAATGGACTTATAACTCTTCTCTTGCTAGGCTATCCCTCGAAGTCGGCCGAATGCAAACCGCAGCAGCTGACTGCCATTGGTAATCGTCTGCTCGACTGGTTCTCAGTAATTATGGCCGACAGCAAGAAGCGTCGCCAGCATAGCCAGAAGTCCAAAGCGCACTTCCCACCCGCCTGCAAGACCGAGGCCAAGTGGATGTTCGGCCATCTAGATCTGAACAACGATGGACTGCTGTCGCTGCAGGAGATGTATGATCTGGAGCACGATCAGAACGAGCGTTGCATCAAGCCATTCATCGACACGTGCGACCTGGACCAGGACAGCTCGATTAATACACGCGAATGGTGCCGCTGCTTCGAGAAGACCGATCGTCCCTGTGCCGCGGTGCGACGAAGAATCGCTGGCGACTTTGCAGGTGAGATAGGTACAGGTGGACATTTCTCTAGCTAACATAACACTAATATATGTATGTTCTCTCTATATATTCTCTATTGAGTTTTGTTTTTCTGTTCAGTTCAATTTATATACCATTGCAGAGAAAATGCACAGATCAAGCTATAGAAAGCTTGATAAGGGAATTGTAGTACAAGTTTAATTTGGTATAACAAGTTGAGTCTTCATTCTGTCTGTCAGTCTGAACTTTTCAAGCGACTTAATGAAAACTGATAAAGCTAATATGGCATTGCGTGTAGATAAACAAGTTCTCTTTTTAATCTTTTCACTTGAGAATACGACTTGCTTAAGATTCGATTGCCAAGTAATGTGTCTGCAATGGTCTGCAATTTAATCTTCGGCAGTTCGAAGATTGGTGTTATTTCTTGTTTTGTGATTGTGAAACGTCTCTAAAACGCAAACACCACAACAACAACAACAACAACAAATGCTTAACACAATTCTCCAAAAATAAAAACAAAAACGGGTAGCTAGAAGAGTAAACTGATTTTACTTTTCCGTTCTGTCCCTTCTCTACAACTATCACTATCACTATCACTAAGACCCTCTTTATCTGTCTATCTGCTTCAAACACTCTTTTGTCTCGCTGTTTGTGCTTTGTTCTGTTTATGCTGCCTTACTTTCTATACACTACGTTTAACCCATTTTAAAATATAATTAAACGCTTCACAAATACCCAAACAACCAGGCACACACACACACACCCACACACATATTAGTAGCCACAGTAACTGTTAAAAAGGACACCATTTCTTTTTTTCTTTTTTGTGCTTGTTTTCTATGCGCTCTCGCTTTTCCGCTCTCGTTTACCATTTACCTTTTAGCCAAACGTAACTTTTAAGCCAGCAAATTAAACACTCTTAACAACAACACACAAAAAAAAAACTTTTTGCTACTGCTTAGTGCCACTGTTTTTGTTGGCTCATTACTAACTTTAACTACATAATTTCCTTCTTTTTTTCTGTTTTCTGCTACGTTGTTTCTATTTTTTATTTCCCCAACACGACCCAAAAAGTAAAAACAAAAAACACAGCAAAACAATATAAACACACACAAGAAAATAAAAATAAAATTAAAAATAAAAAGAATTTCGCTTGTGCTGCTTTCTCATTTACGACTGTAAATTATGCAGACTTACTAAATTTGTGCGCATTGTTATTGTTCTTCTACTTGTTATTGTTGCTGTTGCTGTTGATGTTGCTGTGGTTGGCGGCATAAACTAATTAGGCGCCTACGCACCCGACTGCGACGTACAAGGATTCTATAAGCCAACACAATGCCACAACTCGGTGGGCGTCTGTTGGTGTGTGGATAAGCATGGAGTCGAATTCGCCAACACACGCACACGTGGCAAGCCCAATTGTGGTAAGTAAGAGACCAAAAAACTGAGAGTTGTACTTGATATGGTCTTAAGGGGCATACTCGTAAATGTAGATACCCGTGTGTGATATATTTACAACCTACACCAGATGTAAACTGTGGAAATTAAGCTCTTTGATTAGTTAAATCCGCTCAAGCTCAGAGCCATTCAACGTGCCGCCTGCCACCTGCCACCTGCCACAGTGCGTATACCTAATATGCCACAGCGCACATGGAGGTAATAAAATTGGAATTAACTTTCAAGTTATTCCAGTCGAAACTTATCCTTCATAATTAACTTTTGCTATCAATATCACGCTTTTGCCATGTATAAGACACGAAACAAGTTTCTATCTGCATGTGCAATCGCAAAACGAAACCCTGTCCGTCCGTCCGTCCGTCCGTCCGTCCGTTTACATCGATCCGTATTAAAAATGCATGCTGAGCTGGGGCAGATTAGTGGTAAATCTGCTGAAACTCATTCTAATATTCATTCAAGATTTATGTTTATGTTGATGCTTACGATGATTACTGCAGGCATTCACAAATTCATTTGTGGCAGGCTGAGAAATTTAATTTTCCATTCCATTTGAACACAGAGTCCGTGGTGAATAATGCCGCCTCGCTAACATCCGACGACGAGGACGAGGGCGCCGACGAAGAGGACAGCGCGGAAGGCAGCGCCGATCAAATGCTCGTATTTTAAACGCCATAACCAGGGCCACGCAGCGTACTGTGCATCGATGACCATGGGCAAAAATCTGGTACAAGTCGTCGCATCCAATCGGCAGGCATTAAGGCATAGGCGGTTGATAATTAATATTATTACTACAAACAAACAAACAAAAAACAAAAAATTAACATTGAAAAAACAAAAAGAAAAGAAAACATAAATGTGCAGTAGCCAAGTAAGAGTTTTCGAATAGAACAACAACTACATATAGCAGCGTATACTTAGCAGCAAAATCAACACTCGCAAAAAAAAACCAAATGTTAGAAGGAAATCACAACACAATACAAGCAAAATAAAAATCTGAACTCAAGTGTCATCGTTTGATTTGCTTACGTCGTACGAGAATGTGGCATAGTTCAGGGCGCAATGCACGCAAAATTTTGGCATTAAAAGCGATGCTAAATTTAGCTTATAGTACATTTAAGGTTATTATACCCCATACACATTGTTCTGGGTTTATTTACCCAAAATACACAACTAGCAAAATGGCACAGCAAACACTTTTCGTATAACTACCCCTAACCAGTACCCCATTAACACACACACACACACACACACACAAGTACAGACAAATAGACACACTTGTTTTTGACTTCGGTTAGGCAAAGTTATGCGGCTGTGTCTGAGTAACGGTTATTGAATACCATCGCTTCTGTTATTGCACGCGAATCCGTCTTTTAGCTTTTTAAGCGATTAGTGTATACATTTTAAATGTTTATTGCCATTTCCTCTGTGCTCTTCTTCTGTCCTATCACAAACAACAAAACGAAAACACACGCTAAGAATTCCGCCCAAAAAATACATATACATACATTTATGTGATAGGTTTTGAAAATAAAGATTAAAGAAAATGAAATATGAAGAAAACTAATATGAAAAGAACTGGCAAATTACTAAACGGCAAACAGTTTATTGCACACATTACATTACAAATTTCTGTGCGCTTTTTTTTGGACATGCATCAAAATCGATAAATGTTGAACATAAAAATCATGCGACTTACGAGCATGCCCCAAGTTCGACAGCAGGTGGCATTGCAACACTAATATAAACATTTACTTACATAAACGTAAATAAGTGTGTACCCATGCATAATCGCATTCAATTAGAGTTACTTAGCGTACTGCATACCAGATTTATAGTGAGAGCTAAATTAAAGGAAGAAAAGAAGAGAAGAGAAGAGTATAGTACGCGAGGGTAAGCCTGGTCTAATTAGATATTCCTACTATTAAGGAACCATAGGCACTGCTTCATCGAATAAGTAGCAGCAACACAAATTCCAGGCGAATTGTTCAACAACCACGTAGCACCTGCCACAGGAAAATTGAGCATTTGCTTCATTGTATCGGCACACAAACTTAACTCATATACACTAAAAAAAACACACACACACACTTGAAAACATTTTGCATTTGGGCATTGCAATGCCAAAAACAGAAATGAACAAGAATTTGCAATTAGATTTTGTTGAGTATATTCAACTTGCAACCAGGCACACCGCAAAGAGATGAACAAATTTCAGCATAAATCATATTAACTAATATACGATATAAACGTAAGAAAAATGCTTAAGCATACGTACGAGTATATGCATACATAAATATATATGTGTGTATATACAAATGCATATATATATATATACATATATATATATATACATATATAAATATATAAATAAATAATATGTTTAAAATGTATGTAAGTATATAAGTGGCAGCAACACACTTAGTTAAGTGGCAGTAAAAATCAACTTCAATTTAATCACAATCCACATATGCATCCATATGTAGTGCATTAATTACTGTTTTTATTTACCAACATTTGCTTTTCTACAAAATAAAACACATTTTTTAACAGTATAAATAAAAATGCTTGCAAAGATAAAAAATAATGGCAAATAGCAAATTAAAGTAGCAAAAAAAAAACGCGAAAATAAACATCTGCGCCCCACAAACCAAAATTGGGTTAACAAAAATTTTTATTATAGCGAAAATTGATTACCAGAAAAAAAGCAAAAAACAAATGAATAAAAAATAATAAAAGTACATATATTTGAGATATATATTTAATCATTTGAGAGCAATTGTGTTTTTGGCTGCATTTAAAAATGAATGCGTGGTATAAACTCTATAAACTGACTATATACTATGATGACGATTGTATTTATGTATGTATTTATGTAATTGTGTATTAAGCGAATTGCATTAATTCTAGTAAGCCAAAAGTCGAGTGTATTAAAACCAACAATAAACATCAACGTAATCTTTGGCAATCAAATTTGAAACTACTTTGTACTTACTACAATAAAGTTACTTTCTTTTACATATAAGTTACTTGTTTTATAATTTTCGGAATTATCATGTAACCGTCAAGAATATATCTACTCAATAGTATGAAAAAGTTTTTCAAAATATTTTATTCAATTATTAATGCATTTTTATAAATTTCTTGTTTCTTAAGTAATATCGCAAGCGTAAATTAATAAAGAAAATAAAATCGAGCGCAATAGGGTTTTTTTCATTTAACTTTATACTTAAATGAATCTTGTCTGTTTTACATATATACAACATATATACAAAACGATGCAAACAATAAATATAATTTAATGCAATTTCAATAAATGTTAAGGACTTTTATTATTCATTGAAAAGTACAATGAACCATAGACTGGAAAACAGATACACAAATATTAAGTGGGAGATGAGTTAAGCCAAAAGTATGCCTTACCGATGCTAGATCTAATCAACATTTTGTTTATATTAAATTGTATATATTGTTAATTAGTGTTTCAAAATACAAGTCTACGAATTGCTACAATAAACACAACGATGCCAACTTGTGACATTTATACAAGTGCCAAGAACGTGTGCACAGCGGACAACAAATGTGCAGAGCTAATTTTATGCGCGCACAAGCAACTTAAAAAAAAATGAAACAAACAAACAAACAAGCACAGAAATAACGAGAGCAGCAACAGGCGTACAACACAATTATGGCACAGATTTAAATAAATTTTGTTTTGTCAGAGGGCAACCGAGGGGGCGGAAGTAGTGCGATAAAGTCACCTCGTTTCATTGAAAGTTCACACGCTAGTTGGCGATGGAGGGGTCAAAGTGGGCGTTGTCGTTGTTGTTGTTGGTGCTACTAGCAGTAGTATTGTCAAGGGTGCAACTGGCAGCAACTTTGGCGTGCTCTACAACAAAACGGAAGTTGGCAGCAACAAGCGATGAGTGCGAATGAAGCAAGTGTCAGACATCCACACACAAACACACACAATGCGTGGACATGGGCAACTTTTAGCTAGTCACTTAGTCACTCAAACTGCATGTTGTCTGATTAGTTTTGTAAGATGTTAACAAGGAATACTTTTGAGAATTTTCTGCTGTTTGTAGGTTAATCTACTTGCCACGCATATATATTCTTCTTCTCTCTTATACGTCTCTGCACTCGGAGAAATATTTATATACAAAGATTTTGTTCTTAGAGCTTAAGCCTATTTTGTTCATGAATTATCAGAGATTTTTAGTTAAAAAAAATTTTTTCTTTTCAAGCTTTTCAATATGTAGAGTATATAAAGTATATGTATATATAAAATGCGCATTCTGAATCTTAAAATCTTCAACTAGCTCAAGATGGCTTACATTTATTTCATGATGATATCAGCACTTGAGGTAAGAACATATTCAAATATCTGAAAATAATGAAATTCTCGATTTAAGCAAAATCAGCATGAGTTTCAGGTGCGCAAATCTAATTGTAGAAATTTACATTGAGAAAGCTTGGTGTTCTTTGAAATATACCTTGTAAATTCCATGTCGAGGCTTAGAATTAACAACATATTTTGACAACTGAACCGAGAACAACACTCTCTATTATTTTCTCAAGTGTACTATTTGCATAATTCAGTGAGTCAAACAATGCGACAAGTTGCATGCACCGCCTGCCGCCCTCGTTGAAGCATTCATGCACAAACTTTAGACTTGGTGCTTTATGGCCCGCACACCCTTCCTTCCTGCCAACCAGCTCGAATGCCTGACAGACTGCCTAACTGCCTAACTGGGTGACTGGCTGTTGGCCTGTCTGACATATCACTCAGCCATGTGAGTGCGAGTTTGAGTGTGTGCGTGTGTACATTTGTGTGTCAGTGTCTCTTTGTTGCTGCTGTCTGACCCCACTTAAGGCCCGCTTCTGCCCCCTTTGTCTGACTTTTTGGCATTTTTAATTAGGCAAACTTTTGCCATATATGTGACATAAGTTAAATTTATATGTATGTATATGTGTGAGCTGAGTTAATTATATATGTGTATATGTGTATGTGTATGTGTATGTGTGTGCATATACTTTAAGGCACACCAACGTGATTGTTTATTATTATTTTAGTTGTGTGCAGCTCTGCAACTTTTGCTTCGTATAGCTCATTCAGGCGTCACCTGGCGACATTGCTGTTGCTTTGCTGCTGACACTCACACCTACCTGCACACACACACACACACACACACCTGCACATATGCTACTCTTTTTATAGTTCAAGGTGAAATGCGAAACTTTGTGGAGCGTGCTCGTTGCAGAATATAAACGTGAAGCTCGCCTCAAATTTTAAAGTCACATTTTGTTGTGCTGTTTGTTGCTGCTTTTGTTATTGCAGCTCTGCATTCTTGTGTTGGCCTGGCCCTATTTAGCATGGCGTCATTTGGGCCAACGACTAAAAGGGGAGTTATTCCGACCTGCATATAACTACATATACAAGTATGTGTTCTTATATATTTTTTTTGTTTTACTGTTTGCGTGAAACAATAATTCGCAGCGACCTTGCATGCTGAGTGGCATGGCTTATGAATTATTACGTATACGCAACGCGACAAAACAAGTCGAAAGCAAAAGCGAAAGGCTAACTGCTCGGGAGTCAATATAAGGATTTCAAATTAGCAATAAAAAAGGGTGAAGCCGCTGTTAATTAATTTCTGATGTTATTAAAAGATAGTTGCCGGCACAAGGTGAACTTTAACCATTGAATATTTAACCAACTATAAGCGGAAGTTGCCTAATGAAAATTGAAAAGTATGCAACATTTTACAGCGTTTGCTTTACCGATATCAAGTAATTTAGTTTCCAGTTGTGAAATTTAAAATTTCGCTTACATTTACTACTTGGGAAAATAAAGCGAATACTTTTGCGGCTTGCTATAGTTAAAGAGTGAAGTGGCCACAGTTCGATTGATTTGTTAACTTGATTACAATAAAACTATCAGCAATCTCTGAAAAACCACACAATGTATTTCTCTTTCCTTAATTGCATTAAAGTCTTCAAAAGGTATGCTGTTGCTCTATTGGTAAAATCAATTCTGTCAGTCAGCTTTGGCAATACGAAATGCTTCAATGCTTCGGCATATTAGCAATTTAAAGGACTTAAAAACTCTTACCATTATTTATACCTATTCAATAGGCAAAACACTTGCATGAAATTTAATTTTGTTTACTTTCAATTTGTGGCAATTTTGTAAGCCACAAAGTACGCAATTCAGTAAATTTCTTCACTCGGCACAAATTCTACGAATATGCATGCAATATGTAATATTTATTCATGCCAAATTGAGCAATTGCATGTTTGGCTGTATACACATATTACTTACAAATTGTACACGCAGAAATAATAATAATGTCATCCACAGTGTGTAGCTTACCAAATGTAACTACATGGACACAACATCGTCGCTCGAGCAAGACATCTGGGGGAGTCTACGCAGCTGAGGGCGACCTTGACCAACATGCCAATAAGTTCATTTCAAGTGCCAGCCACAAAAGGTAACACACACGACGCATGGCCCGAAATGGCAATTAATTAGGCAAAGGGCGCCCTTCCTGCGACTGTTGCTAATTAGAAGATTGCGAAAAGAAAACAATGTTTACACAATTGTGCATACGCCGTGTCTAACACAATTTCCATAGAACCAATTTGGTGGGAACACACATACACACATGCATGCATAAAGGCCTTACATTTGTAATGGTAGCAATGCGAAATCGACAAAGAAGCTACAAATGTAAATCAACCATTTATCATTGGACAATACACAACAACAAAACGGCAACAAGAACAATCGTTGTCAACGGCAAAACCACTGAACTGTTAAAAGTGCCATTGAATACAACAACAACAACAACAATGTCAACGATGCTGGAACTCAACTGTGCAAACAGTCGAAAGATACACGGAAAGTAAGCTACATGCATGGCTAGATGTGATGGCGAGATAGATATAGATACAGATACATAGTTGGGTATTTACATACGCATGCACATATACATACATATATGTATGTATATCTATGCTTTGGGGCACTACCTGAGCCACGAGCTATACGCAACGCAAGCGCCGCCCCTCCCCTCACCGTGGCGTGTGTGTGCGTTAAATAGTTTTGTTTATTGCACATTGTAAGCGAGCCAGCGAGCAATTCGGTTGCGACTCGACTGAGTGTACAGCTGAGCTGCTACACCCTAAGCAGCGATCTAATCAGCAGTCAGCGGCGACGCTGACGTTGTTGACGTTGACGTTGATGTTGATGTTAACATGAAATTTCTCATACGCTCGGTTAGCCGCGACGTCGACGCTCGATCGAAGCATTCATATCATTTGCTCACAAATATATACATATACTCATTCTCATCAATGTATGTATGTGTGTGTTTTTTTGGTGAGTATCTAGCTGGCTTGGAAGCTAGACTCGGCCTCAGAGCCACAGCCTCTGCTATTTGCAAGTCGAAAGTCGCGTTCGTCAGACGTGCGATTAGAAACGCGTGCAAAGTGCATTTTGCCCAATGGAAGTGCGACGAATTAATTGTGAGCCGCAAAAACACAAACTGTGCCCCCACACAACAAATACAGTATGATAAAAACGTGATAACCATTTTTTGTTCTCTTTAAATTGGAGCATCGCTTGTGTTTACTTTAATTGGCCTTATTAACATTTTCCATACCCGGCCTATTTGCATGTATGCAAATAGCTCAACTTTTGTTTGCTCTCGGATATGTGCTTGTGCATACATTTAAAACTGAAAGTGTTCAATTGCGTAGAGCAGAGCCAGCAAAACAGAACTGCAAAACCACCAAAAACAAACAAACACTAACTGCATTTTGGGCAAAAAATCAATTACGATTTGATTCAAAATTGTATGTGTCCATCAATAATAATTTGCAATGCTATAGTTAGAACGGAACAACAACAACAACAACTACAACAACAAAAATCTAAAACAATGTCTAAATTAGATTGGAAAACAGAATGGTTATGCAAATTGATATTCACAACAATGTCATTGATGCTGCAGCAAAAACACATGAGTGGTAAGCAACATTTTGGCAGTGCCCTGCTGACACGGCTAATTTGCTCATTTTTCTATTAGTGTCATGCATATGCATATCTATAAAGTATGGCTTAAGGTTCGAATGTCGGGCGATGTAAATAATTTACCCTGTGCGGTAAAAATGGGTTGCAGGCTTTCATCACGAGACGAGAGATATCTTAGCTTCAAATAAAAATGTGACTTATCGTTTACAATAAATAACAATCTATAATTGAGGATGTTTTGAGTTCAGCTAAAATAATAAGTTATTAAAATTTAAATATAATGAATTTATTACTCTCAATGAGAAGCAACTCAAATAGTAGCTTTATGAAAGTCTACATAATTTGAATATTCCTCCATTATACGAAATAATATTAATATGGTTTACAGGGTGTCTTAAATTCTAGCAAAGGCGTAGTCATTATTTATTTTTGTCGCCTTTGCTGACGTGATGCATCTATTAAATTATTTTTGCACTTGAAATTTGCATTACATAGCTGAACTTGGTATTTGAGTAAAAAAAAAACCAAAATAACACAGATCAATTTACAAAAGAGTGCTAGAAAGAGAAGATGTTGTGGGGAGTGTGGCATGGGTGGGCATGGTTAGGGGGTGGGGAAAGCGGCTTTCAGATTTGCCCGACAGCGAGTCTAATGATGAGTCTCAGCTGATATTACCTATTGTTTAACAAGCTTACATAAACTCTAAACTAGACAGGGAAGTAAATGACTTAATTGATTGATTTAAATGAATTCCCTGAAGTGCCTACGGTTATAAGGAAAGGAAAAAATAACAATTGCTCATATATATATATAAATATATTTATATACGCCCGATTAAATTAATGCAGTAGATGTCTGATTGTCTCAAATAGATGCCTAATTGTTTAGTTATGCATAAATATTTTGAATTATTCGCACCGATGATTCAGAATACTCGTACTTGGTATAACCTGCACAATTTGTGTATGTGAAATTGATATGCACAATCGCATGTAGATGTGTATATATATATATGGCTCAGATAATATAGACACATGCCATAATCGAGCTAAGTGCTTCGAGCAATTTGTGGAATTTGTTTGAGGCCTTCAAGCTCAACGAAAGCAAGTCTAACTATTGTTTTCCCACAACAATTTATACATATTTATATTCGTAGATGCGCTGCTGCTCAAGTGTCCACTGCATCAGTTGCAGTTGCAGAAAATTGTCGGATTTCGACCGCCACTCGATTACCTCAGTGAACGGAATTTGATTTACGCGCCACCGATTGCCAGCAATTTCAAAGATCGTGATCGACGCAGTGGCAACTACAGATTGGGGGTTGATAACGCTGACGATGAGCAGCAGCCGGCAAGCGAGGTCTGCTGGCGTAGCTGTAACGAGGATCCGGACTGCATTGCGTATGTGCATCTGCTGGACACGAATGAGTGCTATGGCTACTCATATTTTGAGCGGAATGCACGCTACTTGGCCATTGCGGATGAGTTGCCTCTGGTGGCGGATGCCGAGGCCATGTTCTACGAGAAGAGCTGTTTGCGCGGTTCGTATTATTGCCCGGATGTGGCGAGGGCGTTCCCAACCTTGATTAACTCTGTCTGTGTGTGTGTGCTGTTCTTCTTCATGCAGTTCCCGAGGCGTGCAAAGGTCGACGCTGGGCGCTGACCAAAATTCCGGGCAACAGTTTGATGTACCATGGCAAAAAGACAATTTCGACGCTGGTCACGCGTCGTGAGTGCGCCGAGAGATGTTTCTTTGAAACGCAATTCAAATGCCTATCCGCCTCGTTTGCGCCATCGTATCGGAACAATCGTGAGCGGTAAATTGACAGTTTGTTTGCTGTTTCTGTTTCTGTTGCTGTTTCAGTTTCAGCTTAAATAAATTAATTGCCTTTGTTATGCATTTTTAATGCGAATGCTTTTCACTCGATTATGATGATATCACTGCTGAGCAGTGAAGTCATAAATCATTGTGAGATACAATGTGTAACTCATCCGGAACATCAGTTTTTGTTTGATTTCTCAGTTCTTAATGCTTACATCCCCTGCAGGTTTCGCAATGGGGAACACTCTCAGATGCCCCGCCTTACCCTCGGCCGCTGTACGCTGAGTGACAAGGACAAATCCATACAGCCGGACGCTTTCCGGGCGGCGCCCTACGACGAGGAGTATATGGAGAACCAGTGCTATGAGCGACCCATGGAGAATGACAATTGCTCGTACGAACTGTATGCCAACAGCAGTTTCATCTACGCGGAAGCCAAATATTTGGGCCTCACCCAGAAAGAGGTGCGGCCCTTCAGTCATCTGTGTAGCGCTTGAGCCGTCTCGCATTATGATTGCAATCGATTCGATGTATGTTTTGATTGATTGATGACCGTTTGCTTTGTGTTGCAGTGTCAGGCGCTTTGCACCCGCGAGTCCAAATTCTACTGCCAGGGCATCTCATTCTACTATCTCAATCAATTAACGCGCTCCGAGTGCCTGCTACACTCCGAGGACATTGTATCCCTCGGACCACGTAGCCTTAAGTTGCGCGACAACTCGATTTACATGCGACGCGTTAAGTGCCTCGATGGTGAGTTAAGCACAAAAATTGAGTGACCACTACTAAATACTCTTGCCAGCATATGAAAGGGGTATAATACAATATTCTACGTATTGTTGTTGAATAGTAAAATCTTCCACTTATTGCATCTTTTGATTTTGTCATAGGAATAGGAAGCAATATTATAAGTTATTTTAAACAAAAAAAAATACAACAAGTTAGTCTGAGATAGTTATAAAATAAAGTGGTTCTTACAAGATATTATAGTTCCTAGATATACACCTTGAGTTTATATAATACTTATAAATATCACTTTCAATGAATTACATAAATCGCAAAAATTCTATAATGCTTTATTAAAAATACGAGAAACGCAATTCCAACTATATCGTCTCATACTAACAATCTTTCCTGGTAAACAGTGAAGGTGTTCTGCACACGCGATGAGATGAGCATTCGCTACATGCCCAAGGATTGGTTTACTGGCAGGATGTACGCCAGTATGCACTCGAAGGACTGCCAGGTGAGCGGAAGCGGCAATGAGAGCCTGCTGCTACGCCTGGAGATTGGCAGCGAGCCCAAGGAGAATCGATGCGGCATTCTGCGCGCCTACGAGATGACACATTCTTACCACAGGTAAGGAGTCTAATTTTATGGCAATTTTTCATATTGTCTGATTATGGGAATGTTTTAACAGGACCTTCATATCCGCACTGGTCGTCATACAAAACAATGCCAATGTGCAGACGCAAGGGGATCGCCTCATCAAAGTCGGTTGCATCCTCAACAATGCGACGGCTATGCTTGGCCAGAACGCGGGTGACAGCAATACAGATGCCTCGGAGCAGGTGCCCAGTGCCATTGCCCTGGAGTCGTCTGTGGAATATGCAAAGCAGTAAGTACTTAAAGCAAAGAACCCTTTAGTAACAAAATTCTTACCTTAACTCGTCCGCGGGGTCAAGCATGTTTCCTGTGGAGGGTGTGGTTCATTACAACAGCAGCACTGCTGACCCATATCCGCAACCGCGGATCACTTTACAAATTGTGGATCACACACAGCAGCACGAGACGAACGATGTGCAGATTGGCCAGAATTTGGAGTTGCAAATCGTTGCGGAATATAGCGCGGATCAGTTCGGTGAGCATCTGGAGTTGCAGCTAGCACCGTTGCCGGACTTTCGTGCCACCTCGCTGGTGGCCAAGTCACAGGACAATCAGAATTATGTGCTGCTGATTGATGAGCGCGGTTGTCCCACAGATGCGAGTGTCTTCCCAGCGCTGGAGCGTGTGCGCACCCAATCCCGGAACATGTTGCGCTCACGTTTCCATGCCTTCAAATTCTCTGGCACAGCCAATGTCAGCTTTGATGTCAAGATACGCTTCTGTGTGCAGCGTTGTGCGCCTACCAATTGCCTTTCTTCCTCGGAGGGGTTGTGGCATCGACGCAAGCGACGCCAACTGGAACGGCCCGAACGTCAGCTGGAACAGGTTCGGGTGCAGAATCCCGTTTATATATCGACTGTTATGGATGTGCAGCAAGATTCAGCATTAAATGCGACAGCCTCCCAAATGGAACTGCCCCTCAATTATAATCTGCACGTTCACGGACCGGATCAAACTAATGGTAATAGCTTCCTGTACGGGGAGCGTGGAGTGTTGCTCATCGCTGGCATCGATGATCAGCTGCATCTGGACAACATCTGCATCAATCAGAGCCTGCTGATTGCACTCTTCATACTCTGGCTGATCTGTCAGGTGGCGCTGCTGTTCGGCTGTGGCATGGTGCTGCAGCGTTATCGCCGCCTTGCCAAGCTGGAGGAGGAGCGACGGCGACTGCACGAGGAGTATCTGGAGGCTAGACGCGTACACTGGGCTGATCAGGGCGGATACACGCTCTAATTAATGACTATGTGTAATGTGCGTTAAAAAATTATTTTTAATGGAATACAAATTAAGAGAATCTTATTACATAAAGTGCTTAACTCGTAAATTGTAAAATGCCTATTAAGAGTTCTTTTTCGGTTCGTAGTGCTCCCATTTGCGATGATTAAGCAAATTGAAATCTTTGCAGTGCAAGGCAATCTGGCGGAGATAGTTGGACAGTTTCAGCAGCTCCTTGTCCTTGGAGCGATTCAAATGCGCCTGTCGAAATGGACGTATCTTGAGTCCTGACTTGGGATTCATCATAAAATTGCGACGTATATCGTCAAACATGATCGTATTCTTCGAGCTATACTGCTTGTACAGACCCCAGATGACACCCAGCGGCTTCACATCGACAACGCCGCGCTCCGGCACATGCACTGAGATCATGGCATTCGAGTCGAGGTAGAACATTATTTTGTAGCTATCATTATTGGCGACGCCAAGCAGGCGCATCTTCTCCTCAATCCAGCGCATGCTGGTTGCCGACCAGATCACTATATCATAGTTCTCATACGCTGACGTGAGAAACTCGTGCAAAAAGGGACGCATCAGCTCCGTGCCCTGCTCGGCGGGCGAACGATGATCGAAAAGGGTATAATCAATGTCCAAGACAAGCAAATGTTTGCCCTCACGTGGCGGCGACAGCTCGGTGATCTTATAATGTTGCACGCGACGCTGCACTTTGGCCAGGTAGACGGCAGAATTCTCGACGGACTCCTCCCGCTCGTCGGCATCATCGAAATCATCGATGACCTCGCCAATGTCTTCGGGCAGACTGCAGGCGTCCTCAATGTCCGCCTCTGTGGAACCAACCATCATCAGCTTGAAATTGGGCTTCAGCTCGAGGGCATGTAGTTTTATATTGTCGGCTGCCGGTTTGCCTGCAAATCCGTTCGGTTTATAGTTGACTATAATATAATAATCCATTTTGTGCAATTTCGAATTTACCTTTGTGCTTCAGATTCAATAATTTTTGGCGTTCCGGTCGCACTTGTGTTTTGCGAAAGATTTCGTGGCGCAGCACCTCAACTGTGTCCTGGTCGGTTAGATCGGCAATGGGATACTCCTTGCCACTCCATTTAACAATAACAACGATTTCCTTAATGTCAGTCATTTTCTACTAAAACTGCAATAAATTGTTTACAGTTGTTCAGATGATGGAAACGCACAAGAAGCAGCTTAGCAATAGTATAACAAATTTGGTACTTACGTACTTTGTTTAACATGCATGTAATAATTTAATAATGATTTATTATTGTGGCATCAAATAATGCATATTCCACTATATTTATTTGAGCGTCAGCAGATAAATTATTGGTTCAACAATCGAGTCCGTCTGCTTCGTGGAACTTGTTGAGCACTGAACTAGTTTTGCGTCAAGTTCCTTGCGTTCATTTTCTGATAATTTATGATTCCGAGTTTACACTACGAGTTTCCTTTATAGTTATATAATTTTCTAATTTAATTGTTTAAAAAAGCTATTTCTTTACAGAAGTGTGAAAATTGTTGTCGCATCATGGGCAGCATAACCTAATATGTTCAATTTTATCTTTACCAACACTGAAAAATAGTTATCGAATGTGCACAGCTGACTGCTTCTTAAAAGCAATCGGTTGACCAATTTATTTGAATTTGTAATTCAATTTGAATTACCAAGGGGTTAGGAGTTGAGCTATTCAATGCAATTCAAGTTTAAATGAATAAAACTAAATTATGTTGCAATCGTGAAAACTTTCGGTGTGTAATTCGATTAAATCGTATATGCCGAGAGCAAAAGATGCATAAAGACCATGAAATTTTAATTGTATTTTTTTTTGAAAGCTGTTTATCCGCTGTTAGTATTTTTTGTTATATTTATATGATATTTGTTTGTAATCCGATGCTGGTCACACCGCTGCCTATTGAATGCAGGCAGCAACGATCACTTGATGGCCAAGCAAATGGTTCTGCTGGCTTTTGTTGTTTTCTTGCGCTGCGAGCGGATAACTTGAATCGTCGCTTCGGAGAGCGCATGTATGTAACAAAGGAAAACCGTTAAAAAAGCTGCAAGCTTGCTTTGAGTTGCTCTTTGTGCTGCTGATTCGTTGTTGAAGTCGGCATCGAGTTCGTGTCTTTGGCTCTCACCTGTGCGTTCGAAAGCAACAACAATAAGAAGAGAAGAGTGCACGAAGCCACTTCTGCAGCTTGATCGTAGCTCGGGTCGCAGTCACGGTGATCGGTCGATTTCCATTCAGTTACGAGTGAAACGAGAAGAAGTGCAAACGTCTCAAGCGGAATATCAAGTTGTAAATAACTCAGTTGCGAACATAACAGAAGCGAACGAAGTGAAAGAAGAGAGAGGAGAGATAAAGCAACGCAAGATTACAAAGTTGAATGAATATGATATTTGCAAGAAATCGAAATAAATCACAGATCTAACAAGTTTTAACAAGCGCGAAATCTGTGCATGCAAAAAATAATAATAATTTGCATGAAGCGTAGCCAAGACGCGCCATTTAATTTAACCCACTTTCTAAACGACACAAGAAAAAAACCCACAAAACAAACAACAATCGAGAAAAATCAACACAACGAAATAAATTAACAAGCAAATAATATTAGGTTATAAAAAAAAAAAGAATGTGCAAGTGATACTTACGAATTTTGTTGACTTCATATTGTTTTTTGTTTTTTAATCAAATACCCATAAAATCCAATACGAATTCCAAATAAACGTTAACCGGCCACAGCAACAATAATAGCTTTTAGCAGGAAAAAGTTGACTGCAAACGCATTGTAATCGATACGAATACCGGAACTCCCCTTGCCAACCCCCGTTTGCCGTCTGTCAGTCACCTAAAACCGCAGCAACAGCGACAACAACTGCAACGCGTCGTGTAAAATACACCAACAGCAACAACAACAATTACAAGGGATCGAGCAGATCCTATGGATTCATTTCTTTAGCTTGGAAACGAGTTAACAAGCTTACGTATTGAATACCAACAACAACAGCAACTGCAACTTGTTGGCTAACTTTGGCATAGAGTTAACAAAGTCTTTGAAAAGTTCTGAAAACTTCTCTCTTGACTGCAATTTCATAATAAAAGTCGGCTGACAACAACATTTCTTAGCACCTTTAACGTGCTTGGGCTGCCGGTTTCATATTTCATATAAAAAAACAAAACCAAAAATAAAACAAATAAAAACCGCACTCAGTGAACTACAACAACTACACGTCTAGAATTTCTTGGATAATTATCACCCGTCTGGCACATTTTTGTGTGTTGCCAAAGCTGACGCAGTGAAATTGTGGATTTTTTTCACCCATATTTTGTTTAAAATACTTTTTCGCCGGTTTGCATAAACTCCCTGCGGGTAAGTTGAACATATTTCTCTCATAAAATGTAAACTAAATTTAAGTATTTTGTATACATTTTTCAATTGACAGCAAAAATTTTAAATACGTCAACGGAAAGGGGCAAAATTATACAAAACAAAATTGTATAAATTAATAAATGAGTGTAGTTGTGTAATAATACTTTTAATTCCAATCCAAACCAAAATCCAATTGACTACTTTTTCGTAGTCAAATCACTGAAAACCGATTTCTGGAAGCAATATTTTTTCGGCTTACAATTCAGAAACACGATTATTGGTTGGAATTCATGAAAAGTAAAATTCACTTGGAATACAGAAATTGGATTAGAAAAGAGCCATGAGAATGGATGAAAGCATTTTGATGTAAATCGAGCTTGAGATTAAAAGTGATTAGACGATTAAAAAGCTTATAAGATTTAAATGATAGCCCTAAACCGATTTAATTAAATCTATCCATAATGCTTATATAGACTCAGGCATTTCTAACTGACAAATTTGAATTGATGATCGATGAGAGAGTGCTTCAAACTTTGAAATCCTTTCACTTGCTGGGTGGTAAGGGTCTTTCAAATCAGGCATTTGACCCTAACCACCAGCGCTCTCTCTCAGCATGAGGCAGCTGCTGAAGCGATTAGCACTTAGCCAGAAAAAAACACTTAACCATTGCAATTAAACTTATGAATGAATGAACAGCTTCGGGAGCAACAACTTAAGACAAAAATTTCATTGAAAGACGGCGCCGAACGTGTTGGTTTTTCCAAAAAGAAATTGCCTGCACACTCGTCACACACTGTGGAAAATGTCAACGTAGACAACAAAAATAAATATTTGCCACAGAAACGGGTTTTTTTTCTTAGGCGTTCGCCATGTCATTAATCGGCCTGATCATCATTGATGGGCACTACGACATATTTATAACATTATTAACTTTTGGCTCGCTGACAAACCACACCAATAACAACAAATACAACAATATTTTCAACATGTATTTAAGTTGCAGACGCTTTCACAAAAGCTGTTTGCTGGCTAAAACAACAAGAAAAATGTACATATTTGCATTTAAATGGCTTTTGCGATATGCTTAAAGTTGCTAAATAAAAAAAGAAAAAACACAAAGGCAAATTATAGAAAACAAAAGCAAAACACATAAAGAAGTTTGAAAAAAAAACTGCATTTTGACACGAACTTTTTTCAAAACAAATTTTCTAACTTTGGTTACTCAGTTAAGATTGTGGTGGGGGGCGACAGGGGCAGGAACCGGCACTGGCCCAAAAGTTACGCAGTATAATTTCAAGTGAGCTCGGCTCAAAATAATTATGCACATTAAAACGCCACAACTTTTCACTTTTTTTTTATTTCTGCTGTTTTTTTGCTTGGCTCTTAAGCTTTTTCAAATCACGCACTTTTTGTGGAGTTTGTTACTTTGGGTTTTCATTGTTTATCAACCATTTACATTGTGTTAGTTTGTTGTTTACATAAGCAAAGTACATCTAATACTTAAAACTCTGCTCGTAATTGCAATTCGTGAATTGACTTCACAACATATTTGTGTATTTTACTCATTTTGCATGCGCTGCGCTTAAAATCGCGCCAAAAACGCGTTCGTTTTTTGTTATCAGCTCGAGCGGACTGCTCGGACAATAAAAGTGCATTATGTTTGGCGAAGAGAACGTGATTGATTGCAGCTCGATAAGAAATGTCACAATAACTAGTTCATCTTATCTCATCGTTGTTGTAGGTGATGAATCAAACTCGATTGACCAAATATATCGTGCAAAGTTCAATTTCCTGTCTCACACTTGAGGTTACTTGATTTTTTATTTTTTCGTGTCTCGCTGACTCTTTGACAAATAACTCCAAGCCCATAATGACCATTTTATTATTTGTGCTGTAAATCATCTGCTTGTTGTTCATTTCTTTTTCTTTATTATTTATTTTTCTGGTTTCGTTTTGTGCGTCAAGTTTGCACGACAAGCGGCGGAGAAAGTTTTTTTTTTATTTTATTTTTTATATTTTTGCAAAGCAAAAACAAAAGTAACATTAAAACCGAATTCAAACAAAAGGCAAAATTCCAAAACGCAGCAAAACTGTTAAATGCGCAATGCAAACATGTGATTTATATGAATATACTATATAGATATTCACATATATGGTTTATGTAAGGTACACCTCTTGGGGTTTCTTTTTTTTTATAACAAAGTGGCATTAAAACCCCATAACAGTTAATTGCCAAAAGACAAGCAAGACAACGACGACAAATTAATCAAAATACTTTAAGCTCGTGCCCTGATTGAAAGATAGAAAGAAATTTACAAAATGTTGGCGGAAAATTTCAGCAGCTGCTTTTGGACATCAATAATTGTCATATATAACAATTTGCTACCCACATAAGTGCTGAGCCACGATTTTGAAGCGTCTATCGTAAAACTAAATTACTTAATTTATGGCACACAAATGTGTCGCGACACTTTCTATTTGGGAGCGTCTCTTGCGTAAGCGTTTTTAAACGCATGCAAATCGCGTGCAGCTTGGGGCAGCGTCCGTTGGTCGCTGCGCTGTTGTGTTATGTCAGCTCGAGGTCAAAAAGCGAGGGGGCCATGCACTTAATTATGCGTCGACTGATAATTGAAGTGCCGCCATACCCAGCCCCTTCTGCCCCCTCAAAATAGAAAATGGGACGCTCCATACAAATCAATATTAAATTGTAAATAATTGTGAAGAATCTCTTGTGAGTAGCAAGCTCCTCGAGGCTGACCCTCATTATGGTAATGGTAGCGATTGTCTTCAAGTTTATCAGTTGAACTGCACTTGGAAATTTATGCGACTGATGGAAAAATTCTCAATTGTATTGATTTGGATCTATTCGTCGCCCCACAGTCGCCACAGTGAAAATATACTTAAAATACTCGGAAATACTCGCACATACAACAGCTCGACCCAAATATGCCGGCATTTTCGTATCTATTTTTGAAAACAGCTCGCACACTTGATGATTGTCGAACAGAGCAGCAGAAATGAAAAATTTCCTGTCTATTCAATTAGTTTGGGGACAAGTTAGCCTAAGTGAAAATGTAAAATACAAATTGCAATTAATAAATCCGCTGATAGGTTTACTTTTCAATACTATTGTAGTATATTTCACGTGTACATGTTGTGTATATGGCGCATTAATACAGATCTTCGTGTACAATATAGTGTGTGTGCTAATGTTAATTCAATTAGATGAAGTAAAAGTTTTTTTTTCCAATTTTCGGCTTGAATGAGAAATGAGATGAAAAGTGAAAAATGAAAGCGTTCTTAATTGCAACAGACGCCATTGTAAAATAAAAACCATTTCAGTTGTTTGCGTTTTTTTTTCTTCATTTATTTACAATACTTGTGGGGCAGTCCGTGTATGCGCATGAAATTAAACATTAAACAACAAACAAACCAAAAACAAGATTAAAAAAACCCACAATCAAATCGAATTTATTTGCGCAGAGCCAAACACGCCAGTGAACTGCAGATACAGATACAGATATATGTATCTGTAGCTGGATCTGTGATTGCATCTTTCACTCTTGGCAACACTTTCGAGGCGACCAGACAATTTCTAATGTGCATTGAACATAATTGAAAAAGTGTTGCAAAGTGTTGCAAACAAAGCAATGCAGCGAGCATAAATTGAATTATAATTTCAATTATGAACCGTTAAAAGCGGAAGAAAATCAGCTGTCATATATGCCGACGCTAACAATGAGAGCCGATTGAGAAAGGCCCGCATTGCCAACCAGACAAAAGCCGCCACACAACTGTAAATGAGGTTGAGGCAACACAACACAGCACAACACACATACCACAAACCACATACCGATTGAGATACATGTATAGATTGAGATTTAAAAATGCAGATACAATCTGAGAGCCGCATCTTAGCATGTCAATCAAAAAGAACAGTAAACGGCTTCTTAACGCGTTTTATGCTTCTAGCTTCCAAGCTTCTAAGCTTCGGCTGAAATGCCTAACGCTGTACGGCAATTTGATCTGCTATCAGATGCACGCTTATCCCCTCCCGGGCAGTTCAATCTGCTACATCTTGGCTCGCTTTAATGACTGCCTAATGGGCAACCCAACATCATGTGGGTCAACGAATTGTGTCGATAGACACGCATTTGACACAACTGACAGCAGGCTACCACAAAATGTCATATATATATATATATATATATATATATATATATATATGTCAAAAAACTGAGCTGTCAATTTTGGGCCTTTAGTCCGTGATGAAACACTTTCATGCACATCGACTATTGGTCGCTTACGTAAAGTTTATTGCCTGCACTTCAGTTAAACCAAATATAAAAAACAATATATATATATATAAACATATATATATATTTCTTTATTTATATGTTAGCTGCATATGGTGTATCTGTTTCGCTTTGGTCTTGCTTGGCTGGCACTAAGAAATCGCTTTCAATTTGTGTACCCTGCAGTAAATAATGTATAATCGATTTCAATGAATCATGCGGCGTCGAGCATTAGCGGTCCTATGAAGAATATAAACTAAAGCAACTGCAAAATCTAATTAATTTTAAAAGTGTTAATTTGGCAAATAGAACAAATTAGTTTCAGTATCGTTTTGTGACTTGAATTCGTTACTAACGCAAATGTATCTTTCAGACCATACGCTTTTCTCTCTATACATTTATTTATATTCGAAATGTAATCAAGCTTAATACAGGGTATCACACAGTCGATCTCTCTTAACTGATTGACTTTTACTTGTTGAGCTGTATGTTGCTTTATACTAATACCATTAGTTATTGTTGGCGTTGGCTAATTGCCAAATCGTTTTGAGCCTAGGTAAAAAAAAATGACAACTCAGCGGTGCCAGAGTTATTTTTTGGTCGATATTTACTAATGCTTTGTAACCTTGAATTGCGGTCGGGGTCTGTCTGCATGATTTCATCGCCGTTTCACACATCCAAACTTGTCTCAAAGTCGCTGAGAGT